GGGGGTTCCCCTTCCCATGTTCCACTAACCTCTCTTAGTGGGGGGGTTTCCTGTTCCCATGTTCCACTAACCTCTCTTAGTTGAAGGCCTTCTCTTTCGGTCTTGATGCAGTCCACTTTTCTCTACCTCCTCCTCCCTACTCTTCCCCTCCAACCTCTTGTAGGACTAGCTATGGCTTCCTAGGATGATCCAAAGTGTGATGGACCTCCTACGGCACCTTCCAAGTTCAAAAGCCCCTTTCTTTTTCCTTCCTCTCCACATCTTGATGCTCCTCTCACCTTCATTCTCCTTCCTCAGATCTTCCTCCTCCTAGGATGGCCCAAACCTTCACCTTGAGCTCTCAGGGCTATGGCAGCCTCCTTCCAATAGCTGTTATTGAGTCCTTCCCTCTAAGAGGCCTATGGGGACTCCTACCCTTCCTCATCCTACAGCCTGAGGGGTGTGGCACAGCCCCTCCTTAAGCTATGCGACGGACTGCCAAGCACAGGCAGACCTGGCTTGCATAATCGGGCTAAGCGGGGTGACCGCTCTACTAGCTGGTGGGTACAAGATGACAGACTGTCCGCACTGAAGTAGGGATCTGGTTAGGCTCATTGTGTGTTTCAGGTTCTCAGAGAGAGAGTTCTTCCTTCCTTTCCTGCAAATTCTGTCAATCAGTTCGTCCCCTTCCCCTTCTTCGTCCTCCCAATCATTTTGACGATGTGCTCTCCCAATCATTTTGACGATGTGTGGGCACTCGCACTGATAATGACGGAATGTATAATGCCTCACATTTGCTCTGATTTTGTAGTTCTCTATGTCTATGGCGAATATGTAATAATTGCTGAAATTCTGAGCCGTTTATTTGCTATTTTGTACATGATTATGAATAAATGTTTTACATTTAACTAATAATCAAAGGGGATCGGGTTTGTGTCAACCATTTGGGTTTCACACTTGTCTTTTGATTATGACTTTTTCTAGGCTGTTCTTTTTGGTCAATCCACCTCCCTTCCCCTTCCTTCGCGCCCTGTGCCGACTTGCCACCTTTCCCTTATCACGAGGCGAGACGAAGAGTCTGCGAGTGGGATGTCAAGGAAAGCGCCATCCCAGATAGGTCTTCCTTTTCGATTCCCGAGTGAGCAGACTGTTAGGCTTTAGTAGGGTTTGGGTTAGTAATCATCGACACCGACTTTCCCCCGTACTCCATCCTCCTCCCCAATCACGAGCACACATCCCTGGTCTGTCATCACCTCTCTGTGGCACACATTTCATGTTGTGCATATTGTCATGAGGAGCTTTCTGGGCAACATGGGTTCGCCTAAGGTTCACAGCTTTGAGGATTACCACGCTAGGTGCACTCGACTGAGAGCGTCTACCTCGGACTCCGAACTCTGCAAAACTCATCGGTGACACGTGGAAGCCCAACGAGATCCCGCATATACCTCCGAACCATTCGATTGTCAAAAGCTAAGGTGACGGTGTTTGCGAACAACCCTGTCCCTTTAAGCATCTGTCTCTCCCATCGAAGATGGATCCCCATTTCCAGTTTTGATTCAAGCACAATTACCCATTTGCCCTCTTCTTCATCGAATTCGTGATTAGTCCAACCCATTTCCCTATACCACCTAATCGAACCTGGCACAGGAAATCCCAATTCCGACTTGGAACTTCAACCCCCCCCAAAAAATCCTTGGCACACCCCTAAAGCGCACTTCCGGGACTGCTCCCACTTCGATCAGGAAGTCACATGGCAAGAGGTTGGCCATCACACCAATGCCAAATCACAACCTCGTCCGCCACTCCACACATCACCCCAGCCCCCTCCTCCCCCCTCCCCTCCCCCGCACCTTGGCACATGGCAGCACCCCCTCACTCCCCCCGACCCCCCCCGGCACTTCACCCTCAGGTACCTTCTCCCTGCTGCCAGATACCCCCTTCGGCATCCCTTCCCCTCCCCCTATTCAGCCTCCTCACCTCTGACATAAGAGTCCCCTCCCCTCTCCCCCCACCACCTCCCCACTGGGATACTGCCTTCTGTCGGATGGAGGGAGAGTCGAAAGCTCTCCAGCAGGGCAACAAGACATCTGCAGGTTGACAGCAATAGGCCCCCCATAGGGTGACATGCTGAACAACTGGCGGTCTCCACATATCTCGTCGCCTTTGTACCAAGCTCCAATGTAGGCTTATCGAGGGTCGTCATCGGACTACCAGAACATGGCTAGCAGTCACCTCTGCTAGTAAGAACAAATACTGCTCCATATGGCGGGCCAAAAGCAACAGACAGCCAGACATCAGACTTGCTTCTCCCGATGGTCCGTGACCAAAGACCACTGGATGTCTCAAGCAGCATAGGCTGCTCTCTCTGTTTCTATCGTCAAGGGGCACTGGACCCGTTTTCCAGCAGGTGCAGCTCCCCAACAATAGATGGAGCCCTCAAAACACCGAACCACTTAAGGAGGGTGCTCTTACCACCTCTTTAAGCGGCACTTCCCTGTCCTGAAGCTCCGCTAAAAAGAAAAAAGTCGCTTCGAGCTCGCCAATTGCTAGCCTGCAGATTTACCCTATGTATCCACTGGATTGGCCTTTCTGTCGTACAATAGTGTATGTAAGAAGTGTGATTCCTCTCCAAAAAACGAAAAAACACTTCACCAACTGCAAGTGGTCGGATGTACTCTCATGTACCCAGTGGATTGGTCTTTCTGCCAAATTTTATTCTGCGTCATTGGGCACAACCAGCCAATCAAAACTTCTACCGGACAGTGTGCTAAACGGGCAGCTCTCCCCCCCCCCTTATCCAGCCAGTTGAAACTTCTTATTAAACCACCAGTACCTTTCCCTGCTCGAAAAACAAAAATGCAGCTCGATTACAGCCACAACTTTCCAGGGTCGGGGTACCGGCCCCAAATGGCCGGCGCCGCCAGCCAAAATGAGGCCTGTGCCGGCTTGTTTTGTCTTTTGGCCCGCAGGGCATTTTCTGGCTCAGCTTCATAGTGGGTGAGGTACTGGTGGTTTAAACTAACAGTGTGCTCAATGGGGAGCTCCTTTTTTCCTCCTCCTTTTACTTCGGCCTCTTACCCCACGCAAAGTCCCACCCACCCTCCCCTCGTCAATTCTCCCTGATGCACCCCCACTCCTGCAGTTCCACCTCAGTGTCTACCATTCCAGACAACCAGCTTGTTACACTGCAGCCTGCAGGTGCGATGACCCGCATGGGAGACAGCTGTACCCTCGGGAACCAAAATGAATATTCTGGAACAAAAAACTCCTTTTCTTTTTTCCCTTGTTTCTCGAGGCCATCAAAGAATCTAAAAGACCAAAGACGACAAGGAGCCAAAAGAGATCCCCCATTATTTCAGCCGCAGGGTCACTCTCTCGCCTAATTGAAAAGTTGTTCGAGGAGCAATCTTTGCTGGGGTGACAAGTTTGTCCTGTAGCCACTCTCTCGCCTAAGTGAAAAGTTATTTGAGAAGCAATCATTGCTGGAGTGATAAGTTTGTCCAGGACCACTCAGACTAGTTTACTCTGCTCCTGAAAATGAACTTAACAGTTTTGTCCTCCTTTCGCCTAGCAGAGATTCTTGTGACACGTCCATGTACAACACACATACCAGTACCTGTCCTATGTTATGTGCATCGTCAAGGCCAACATGATTGGTTCCTGTCAAAGGTATCTTTAATCTATTGAGCATGGCTTTCATTCTGCTCGCATTCTGACCATAAAAGTCCAAATAGACGTCTTTGAGTTTAATCCACTCGTTGAAGTATGGCAGGAGATTGATTCCTGATGTACCGCATTGCTCGGGTATCTTCGTCTTCACGCTGCAAGTGACAAAGGCTGCATTCTCTTTTAAGGAAAAGGTTGTGAAGGGTGTCGGGGACAGTGCAGGGCACGGGTGTCTGACCGAGGGCTGGACGCACTGTGTTCGGCCCTCCATGTCGGCACAGTAGACCCACCCACAGACACACTCAAGGACGGAACGCTAAACCTCGTCCATGCACACACACCCGGGCAGGTATCGATCAGGACTGGTGCTTCTTGATCGCCTGCATCTGGGTGCAGTATACCCCGATTCAGGTTCCGCCCCCCCCCAAGGTGACCTGCCGGGAGGCGATCAAGCACCCCGTCGCCCGTCACCAAGGGGGGTTTTGTAGGCCTGCCAGGGGGTGGTGAACCTTGGTCTCCCTGCCCTGCTCTTCCCACCTGAGCCCCCCCCCCCCCCCATGACCCCATGACCCCGCACAACTGAAGAGGAGACGCAAGCGATGCTCTCCGACAACCCACACAGAGCTATGCCATGTGGCACGCCCAGGGGGGCAGCCTCCAATGCGGCAGACACAATGGTTGGTTCCCAAAGTTTGGCGCTGTATCTTGAAATCCCTGCGCACGGCCGGGTTTCGAGCATCGGACCGCTTGCGTTGCCCGGTGTACGCACATGCCTGTGTCGGTCGGCACACGCCGGTTGAATGTGCAGGGCGCAGGTCCAGAGATCCAAACCTGCGCCCTTATACCACAATGTGCATTCAACACCGTACTCTACCCACTGAGCTAAGGCCTGCAGACACATCGTCTGAGGATCATTTCCAGTTGACATCAACCCATGGCCAAGAGCCCAGTGCTCAAACTCCTGCAAAACCTGTGTGAATGGCACTGCTGTACCATACCACAGTCTTTCTAAGCCCCACCAGCCAGACTTCCTGCGGATGTACTTGCTAATACGGTCTCTAGATATTGCTACTGGTCGTACAAACCGGTGGAACTTCTGTTTTCGCACATTCTTTACATTCGATGGCCTGAAACCCAAAGATTGCTGTAGCAGCAGCTCATGACTGAATTGCCTTTGTCATCCACCAAGCAGCATTTCCCTTGAGTGAAGTAATAACACATCTTGCATGGCATCCCCTGACTTCTTCTGCTTCTTGATACGCTGGCTCCGCTGCCGAGCCCAGACCCAGGTTGAGACAGAAGCTCACCACTGGTGAGACCCATCCCTCCACCCATCGCCTAGCCCTCAGAAATACCATCCACTCCATGACATTGTCCTCTTGATATACTGGCTTCACCGACGAGTCCAAGTCCAGGGCGAGACGGAAGCTCACCACTGGTGAGACCCATCCCTGCATCCAGTCCCTCACCCTCGAAAAGACCCTCCACAACGGCGTCCTGGCTGGCCCTATCCACTCTCTTCTCCTCATCAAACATTTCAAGTCCCCGGCCATCCTCAACCATGCTCTGCCGTCCTCCCTCAAGGACTACATCTTGTCTGTGATCATCCCATCGCCGACTCTTAGCAGCAGTTGAGACTGGCATTGGCTGTGACAATTTGAAAGCACAATGGACAAGGATGTATGCTGATTGAATGGACGGAGGACTGCTGTCCAGTCTTCTTGCGACCACATGGGTCATGCTGGTCATGCTCCGGATCCGGTTACCGATCCAGCTACGGAAGCTGGCGCAGAGGTGTCAACTTTCCAACCTCTTAGGGCAACACTACTCCCGACTTGGCCGTTTTCGGGAGTGCAGCATCGCCACACCAGCTCCCGATTTCAACCTGTCAGATTGAAATCAGGATCTGTCAGAATGTGGCTCCCGAGAGCACTCCCGAACTCACCGCCTGTAAAGCTGCCTTTTCGAGAGACCTCCTTCGCTCCTCCCAGTTTCATCCCAGATTCGGGAGTGGAGCTGGAAGGGACAAACGACTTTTGCCAGACTGCTTCACACTGAGCATGTCCACATGTGGCAAATGACATTTTCAGACTTGGAGCTCGGCCGGGTCGAGAGTGTAGTGTGGCGAAAAGCACTCCTTCCGAGAGCACTCCCGAAAAATTCTCAAAGTCGGGAGTGGTGTGGCGAGGCCCTTAGACTCATTCTTGTGAGCGTAAAATCCTGTTGACACTGCAACCACTTTTCACTCTGTGGAGCCGTCCTCTCCATCCACCAAACATGTTTACTACCGTCTTCACTCGAATAGAATGCCCGGTCGTTATCGTCGTATCTGGACTGAAAGTTGCACCAAATACGCTATAATGACCGTCCCTTCTACACGGGTGAAGACCGTAGTCTGCAGACCTAGCATGCAACTAGTGATATGAGTTCTTCCCGTGTGCAGGTTGTCATGCATTGACAAGGACTGCCGTCGTAGTCAATGAAATGAACGCAAATGTTTCTGAGGCATCCGGCTCATCAGGCTCCTCCACCCGGAAGAACGGTGCATATCATCCTGGGAAGCATGTGGGCTGTACAGGCTACCGCGCCGAAGGCCTAGCTCTTCCTGAGCAGTAGACTTGAATTGTATCCCTGGGCTAAAAGGCCGAGGCCGGGGAGAGGCTTCTCATAAGCCATGCCAACACCCATTCCTGAGCTCGAAAACGCATGAGTCCAACTGCACAAATGTGCTGTGCGCAATGTGTGAAAGGCAGGGTGCACCATTCACCTTGGTTGAGGGAAAATGACAACAGAGAGAGGCAGCCGAAGGCCGGAATGGATTACTACCACATGCCTTCGACACCCATACAGATGTTGTGGCTGACGTGCCACTCACTGACAACCGATTGCATGCTGAAAGAGCTAACAGATCGCTGCACCCATCAGGACTTCCGGCCAACTGCACTCTTCCATCATCACTCTCACACAGCGTCGGCCACGGCAATGCATACATGGACGAGCATTGCCATTCCACACATTCGTCCACAGTTGAAGGAGATGCAGGGAAGACACGACGAGGCAAGAGTTCTAAGGCCATAATTTGTACGGACAAATTGAGGAAATGGCCCATGTTAATAGCTTGCTAATCAGTTAGTTGAAGTTCACATGCCGCTGTCTATTGTTGTCTCGTGCATCCAGAGTCTCCGGAGAGAAAACTTCATCACAGTTGTGTCTCTACCTGTCCTGTGAACTCTCCTATACCTGCCTAGTGGCTGAATTGTGCCTACATGTAACTGCTGATAAGAACATCAGAGGGCCAAAATCTGTTCGATGTAATACCGGCAACTCTACGTCTCCTCTTGCGAGCCTTCACAGGATGCTAATGACATGCTCAATGGGTTTACTAATGCGTGCGGAGGACCGCATTAGTTAAACAAACTTCTGGCAGCCACCAGCTTGCAACAACTTTTGGCCAACCGGGCACCTCCACAAGCTTTCTCTTTACCAAAGAAAAGAATCTTTACAAGATTCTTTACCAGATTCTTGAGACGATGCTTTACCAGATTGTTTACAAGATTCTTATCAAGATTTTTATCAAAATTCTTTACCAGATTCTTGACCAGATTCAAATGAGTGCACAAGGGCTGTTTGGCAACTAGTTTCTGTGCGTTACATGATATTATTGCAGTGAAGGGCCAGCAAGAATAATTGGAAAAAAGGACAGTCTCAGAGTGATCAGATGAACTCAGTCCTGGGCCCTGGCTGCAATGCACAAAATGTAAGGATTTGTGCTGCTGAGCTCCTAAGAACGAAAAGGGGCCAAAGCAACTCTACCCCATTCTGATGGGCACTGATGGTTTAACCGCATGGGCTGGATGAACACACAAATTGCTACCATCTTCACCCGAATAGAACGCCCGGTAATTATCGTCGTATCTGGGCTGAAAGTTGTGCCAAGTACAGCTATAATGACCGGGCGTTCTATTCGGGTGAAGACGGTAGCAACGAACTCCGATTAGCTAAGTAAGTGCAGTCATCGGAGCACCTTACGGGATGTAATGGATGTTCACACATTACAGGCCATAGCTTCCTTAGGCGACTATGGAGAGCATCCATAATCATTGTCTGCCAAACATGGAAGCAACCATAAGGTGTGATGCAGCAACCGGTGCCCCACCAGCTGAAACCTAAGCCCTGTGCTCATATTGGTTATCGCACCGACATTCTGCCGGTGCCCACGTGTGCTGCCCTTGTTGGCTGCCTGGCTAGCTATAAAGGTCGTTCACTTATGATTACTAATCCAACACAACGAGATGCGGCGAATCGAGAACTATTTAGAGAACTGGGAATCTAGAAACATGTACAGGCACATGAAAGCATTTCGGGCCGTCTTTCGTCATGTGAACGAGTTAGTGGACCTGTCTGCTTGGTGTGTCCTCATTCGCTGATGGAGTGTCAGTGACAGAAGCCCCCTTTTAAAACTTCTAAAGAGAATTCAGAACCACATTGGGGTACATGGAAGCCTTTGTGGGTCTTTGTTCCCGTGACACCGCTTCACGTGAATCCCTTGTGAGATCTTTTTCCTCTCCTCTGCTCATTGGCTGGTTGGCCGTAAAGATCACTCACTGCATCTTTTGCTCCTGAAAGACGTCCCCTTGGCACAATCCTTCTCCCACCCAGTTGCAAACAATCATCCTTATCCATCAAAGGAAGAAAAGAATGAAACAAAAACCAGAGAAAGAACCCTACCAGATCACCAACTGGGAAAGATAGTCGATGGCCAAGCCAGCTCAGCAGACAACAACATCGGCCATCCCTACCATTCTCGCAAGTCCGTTACTCCACACCCGGACAGTCAGACATGTCAAACATGCCACTCCACCAACCGGCCTATAGATTTTTTTATTTATTTATTTATTTTTTTTTGGAAAACGCCCCTGCCAGTGTTAGTGCTGCTGATAAGAGCAGACCCATTTACAGAAAATGAGAATGTCTGAGAACAATTAGAACAGTGACTGTAAGGTGACCGTGAGGTCTGCCAGCATTGATTGCCCTGTACCCCAGGGGATTAACCGGCCTATAGCTAAGTTGGTTCACCCGTGAACTGCTGAAATGCAGACCGAAGTTTGCATCCAGATGCAATCATAAGAAAAAAAATAAAAAATAACAGAAAACATGTCACTCCCAGACCAACTCCATGATCTGGTTTGGCCCTCGACTGCTGAGGGTTGGAAACCCCACTCTTGGTGCAACAATAGGGGTTTTGGAACACTGGCGACTCGAAGAGATCATGGAATTCTTTCCATGGTGGGGTCGGGTGGGAGGGGGGACGGGGGGGTCATGGAAAATCTTCCGTGGTGGGGTGGGGGGTGCTGTAAAGTGTTCTGCAAGACTTTTGCATCCCCCCCAGCTCATCTGTTAGTGGTTAAGTTATCCATTTTCTTTTTTTTTCCCTTTTTCTGGTCCACATTCTCACGCAGAAGGTCAGAGGTTCGATTCCTGATGCGTTGAGCTTTGCCGACGTAGGATGGAAAATCTTCCATGGTGGGGTGCGGGTGGGGGTTGGGGTAAAGTGTTCTGCAAGACTTTTGCATATTGGTGGTCAAGTTATCCAGTTCTTTTTTTCTTTGTTTGATCGGAAGTTGATCCACATTCTCACAGGGAAGGTCAGATGTTCGATTCCTGCCATGTTGAGCTTTGCCGGCGTAGGATGCATTTATAAGTGACACCTGATGTCTGCGTCTGTGACTCTGTGCCCTCTTCTTTGGTCCTGCAGTTCGCTGTTGTTGAGTGGATGACGACAGCTGATCCCCCCTGCTCGCCTTTCAAAAACTTTCATTAAGGTCCATAAGCTAGCATGGCAGGGAGGCATTCTTTTGCATCAGAGATTCAGAACATGTTAGCAAAGTGCTTGTACTTCGGGAAAATGACAACGCTGCAAGGAGGGAACAGTGGTCACTCCTCGCAACATGTTTTTAAGCGACTTCTGGAGTGGTGTGTTCGGCATCTTCGATAGTCGGGGAGGTTGTGGCGTAACGGACTTGGGACAGCAGGAGGGGAGTGCCGCGCTTGGCACGCAGCAGATGTCAGCTTGCACAGAAGATTTGTAACAAGTGTGGCGAGGACCCACTGGCAGTTCATCCTATAGCGCCCACACAAACTGGCAGGGAGTGCCGCGCTTGGCACGCAGCAGATGTCAGCTTGCACAGAAGATTTGTAACAGGTGTGGCGAGGACCCACTGGCAGTTCATCCTATAGCGCCCACACAAACTGGCAGAGCACTGTGGCCATCCAAGATGGTGCTGAATTGACAAAAGTGTGGAGCTGGGGACAGTGCTGAAGTAAGGCGTTTTGAGTTTCTAAGAGCGCATTCACACAGGGACTTTCGTAGATGACCGTGACTGTAATTACACCTGGACTGGGATAATTTGACTGCAATTACTTCCAGAGGTCAGTCGAAAAAGTACTGGTGTGATTATGCCCTAACTTTAAGGGCAGAAACTCTATCTCTGTATCTGCTCGGGCATTTATCACTCGCCTCAGTGACGAGTGGTTTCAGTCAGCCGATCAGCAACTGCTTTGCACAGTGCCTGCATGACAACAAGCATTTCGCAACAAGATGCACCCCGACAATTGCAGGCGATTTAGTAGTCTTCTGACCAGAGAATAGCCCTACACCGTTCAGGAGACTCTGCAATCCAGCAGATCAAGTTTCACTGCAGGCACGGACGAAGGCCTGGTCCTTTTCGTCCATTTCATGAATGGCTAGCATTCTGGGGGGTGGGGAAAGGAAACAAAAAAAAAAAAAAACATTTTGAAATCTAGCAGATAGAGTTTTGCAGCAACCACGGATCAATGACTGTCGTTTTCGTTCGTTTTGTGTGAAGTATAGGCCTGCAACACCATCGTGGCAGAGCCTAACACATCAGCACCGAGAATCCTTGCATCTGCTTTAGGCAATCATGGAATATGCACGTTTGCCGATCCCTAAGCAACACCCGAGCACATACTCGTGGTGAAAAATGTATGCTTCAGCTGACAAATGTATGCGCCAAATCTCCAGAAAAGTCAGATGCAGTGAACTGGGTTTCCAGTGCGAGTATGCCGTACACACGCCTAACTCACCCCAGGACAGCATCGAAAGGTTCCTTGTGGAGAGAACAGGAGAGAGCAGAATGAATAAAAAATGAGGGCTTTTCTTAAAAGCCGCAAGTACGCTGCCGAGGCAAACTTGAGAACCGAAAATGCGTCATTCCAAGAAGTTCGGATAAACAGTGCTATACGGGGCGCCAGCCAAAAGAAGAAGGAAACAAATGCAGCACTGGCATTTCGAAAAAGTTCCGCGCGCAGGGGGAGTTCCCCTAGGCAAAAAGAGACTTGGATGTACTCCTGGTTTAAAGCCTTAAGGCTTGCACATGACCTTAAACATGCAGACTTTGCATTCGCCAACAACATACCTATCTGGCTGCCAAACCACATAAGTATGCTTCTGGACAGAGCAAGCTGATGAAAGGAGCAGAGAAGCATCAGGAGGTTCGTCCTTCTTTCGGAAGATTTCAAGTTCACCATTTCAGGGAAACCCAAGAAAAGAGGGAAGAGGAGATGGTAGACATCTAAAGCCTCTGACATTCTCTTGCTTCACGTAACCCAAGCGATGCTGGTGGACAGAGCAAGCTGATGAAAAGAAGCAGAGGAGAGAATCTTCCAAGGAAGTCCGTCCTTTTGGCAGATGTCAAGTTCACCATTTCAGAGAAACCGCACGAGGGAGGAGAGATAGGGTAGAAATCCAGAGCCTTTAAGCTTCTCTTGCTATGCATAACCCAGGCTACAGCTTCATGTAACCCAGGCCATGCTGGTAGACAGAGCAAGCTAATGAAAAGAAGCAGAGGAGAGAATCGTACGAGGAAGTCCGTCCTTTTGGCAGATGTCAAGTTCACCATTTCAGAGAAACCGCACGAGGGAGGAGAGAGAGATAGGGTAGAAATCCAGAGTCTCTAAGCTTCTCTTGCTATACGTAACCCAGGCTACAGCTTCCCTTCCTTTATGTGAAGAAATACAGCCAGACGAACGAAATAGGATGCTGGAACTCCTGCAAGTTGACAGGAAATTAGTTCAAATTACACTTTGGAGACGTAGAGAACTGGAAGGAAATTGAAAACCGAATGAATGAGAAGCTCTGGAAATCATAGACAACAAAAAACAAATCTGACAGAGAAGAGTTTTCTCCAACCAATGCCACTACGCACTTCCCGCCACGAAAAAGTGGACACAATCCAACGGAGAAGAGTAGTGTATTGTCCAACCAATCCCGCTACGGTAGGCACTTCCCGCCAGGAAAGAGTGTACACAATCCAACAGAGAAGAGTGGTGTATTCTCCAACCAATGCGACTAAGCACTTCCCGCCAGGAAAAAGCGGACACCATTCTCCAGGACACGGAACTGAAAACACCCAACCCTGTCTGAATTGCCGGATGACAGCCGCAGCCCTGGCTCCATCCCCAGTCCCACAGTGGCTGCAGAAGAACAGTGTCCCTTTCTCCAAAGGCAGGATCGAACTCTGTGTGTCACTGTGATCTGTCCATGGACATCCGCAGCATGTCCTGTGCTCAGCGGGCTCACAGTAATCACAGCATCTGCCCAATGCTGCAGTTGGTGCTGTAGAAGGGATGCAGAGGCGGTTTTTTCGCTTGCCTCCACGTACGAGCCGGCGGAAACATCTCCATCGACATCAGCATGCATTAATACAACAAGGCTGCATCGTCGCCCACCAACGCAGAGTGATCGGCAGTACTGCAGAAAGTCAAGAACGTGCGCAGCATTACCACCAGCAGCCACATGCAGCAGGCTGACATCATCAATAACTATACAGGTACACTCTACGCTCTCAGGATCCCGACCTGTCAAATCAATGCTCCCTTTGCATCTGACATTCCCCCCTTCTTTTGGCCGCCTGCTCCAGCGAGCCAATGTCTCTCTTAGCTGCTCAAGCAGCACTCGGAATGGGTGCTCGTGCTGCCTCGCCTCTCCATCTTCCTCCCCTGATGAATCTAGAGTCCTATCTCCGACATTGCAACCCACAGAGAAGGTGAATCGTGTCACGCCAGGCAATGCATTTGCAGCCCTTCCTCTCAAACCGCTCTCACCTGTGTCCTGTTCAGAAATGTGTGTCGTGCACTCCGCACGCGAAGTGGACCCTCCTGTAGGCATGCCGACTTCAGGAGTCCGATTGAATGGAGATCCACCTCTCAGGCAGGACTGACTTGATGCTGCCGCAGCAAATTTGGCCACTGCAGTGGGCTGCAACCCCTCCGAGGTAACAGCTGAGGAAACCATTTCATCTTTCCTGATCCGCACGGGCCCACAAACAGTTGCTGTCTTAGAGGACATTTGACGTTGGGAATGCCATATGTACGGCTCTGACAAAAGGTCTATAACTGACAGCTGCCCGCTCTTCAACAACTTGGATAGACTATAGCCGAGCTTCTTCGCAACGTTGTTATAGTGAGAGATGGATTCGCTCAGAGTGATCAGACAAACCCGGTGTGCATCTCTAGTCCCATCCGAGTCGGTATTACGATAATTCACAGTTCCATCGTTCGGCCAGTCGCTGTTTCTACGTGGGCTTGCCGTCAATGTGGGTGCTAGTTGCTTCTGCAGAAAATAATGGAGGAGGAACTCCCCACTGGCTGCAACCGTATCGCTTATCAAAACAAAGGAGCCTTCAGGCAGCGGCCCGAACGAGTTCAGGGCTGCGTCAAGCATTATGTACTGGTCTTCTTCCTTGCCGCCGCTTCTCTTCGGTCTTTCCTTCCCACACCCCCCTTTCTTCTACAGCAGCTTTTCCTCAATGCAGTTCGCGTTGTGTAGCTACCGAACAACGTATACCACACTGCAGAGCCCCACCCCAGAAATAGTCAGATGTAGTCAGCCCGAGGACCAGAAACCTGTCTCCTTCCTTGCTGCCGCTTCTCTTCGTTCCTTTTTCTCAGACCCCCCTTTCTTCTGCACCAGCTTTGCCTCCCACCGATTCGCTTTTTGCAGCTACCGAACAAGGATTACCACACTGCAGAGCCCCACCCCAGTCAAAGAGAGGAACAGAAGCCTGTCTCCTTCCTTCCTGGCACTTCTATTCGTTCATTTTTCTCACCCCCCCCCCCCTTTCTTTCGCAGTAACTCTGTCTCAATGTCGTTCGTTTTGTGTAGCTACTGAAAAAGAATAGCACACTGCAGAGCCCCGCCCCAGAAATAGTCAGAGAGAGGAACAAAAGCAGCATCTACAAGATGCGCAGCAGGCAGCAGAACGTAGAATACATTTCCTCACAAGGGCCTAATCATAGAAAGACTACGGTGAACAAACATGCTCATGACAGCCCTAGCATAACACCATCCTCCTCATGGACAGAAGTCTCAAGACCGTTCAGTCTTCCTCATCGCCATCTTGGTTCGATGGAGATACACAGACAGGTGTGCAAGCCCTCATGCCAATATGAATACCGAGTTCAGAATCCCAGACGTCAGAAATCCAGAAGATGACATGCTCGCGTCAGGTCTTGGTGATATATTACTTGAATGCTCATCACTACACCATACAAGAACACTACGCTGCAGTTTTTCCCTTTCCTTTTTGATGGCGCAGTTTGCGCAAGTCCTATGAAACAGAGCAGCAGCATAAACCACAAAAACGCAACTAATGCAATAAACAAAGGCAAAACAATGCCTGAACTCAACCCTACTAACATAACAGGTTAGATCAACTTAGATGCTACTACGGAACGTCGAACCAGTCACTGAGAACAAGTGGATCAATCCCAACCAGTAGCGGCACTTGCAACTTGCTCGGCCCACACCGATGTGAGCAAGGATGCACACAAACGAAATCGTTGTGAATCGCAGAAGGTAAGACACATACCTACCGCAAGGTTCCCTGTGCTGGGACACCCACCCTTCTCCACCCAAACCCCCTCCCCCGGGCGCCAAATGTCTGTATCTTCCGGAATCCCAACGCCAAAAGAAAATTGAATGCTTCAGATCTGCAGAAGCAGAGAGCCAAAAGCAATCAGACACTTCAGATCCACAGATGTCCCCAGAGCAGTTACTCGCAGACGACAGATTAGTCTATGCATTTTCCTGCGTGCGAAAATCGCACACGTCCGAGTCGCCCTACAATTACAGAAGTGGATTGCCAACAATTTGCCCTTAAAACGCCAGTACATTGGCCATGCAAACTTGAGAATCGAATCAAGCGAACCCGAAATTTTCAGAGCCCCAGGGCTACCAAACCACAATGGCTGGCGGCGCCAGCCAGAAAACGCAAAAGAAAAAGTGCGCTGCTCGCGGTTTGGCAAAGCTTGGTGCTGGGTGCGAATCCACCACGGCGAAAGGAGGCACACAGGTACTGGTCCCTAAAGTAAACACGTGATTGGCCCAGAACAATGTCCATGCACGGTGAAACTCACTACGTACCAGCTCGCCTCAAACACACAGCACTCCCCATCCCTTCAGTTCCACTGCAGTGAGTTGGATGGCTCAAGCCTTGAAGCAACGCAAGAAGAGCAGCCATTGGCCAGCTAGGTTTTGGGAATCACGTTATCTGGCCAAGTTTGGACCCCTCGTAAGTGTTCAGCCCATAGGCTACGAACTAACAAGCCTGCTAATGAACACATCTACCATTGGAACATGTCACTTGGGACAATCCATAACCCAAACAGCCGCATTCTGAGCTTGATGTCCTTCCTCCTTCAACGCCAGACAGTCAAGTGCGTATGGTATTGCATGGGGATCTACTGAACAGTTTCATCAAATCTGCAAATGCATAAGATGCCATTGTTAGCAATGCTTGTACAATGACTATGCGGCAAATGCTCGACAGTCGGTTGAAGTTCGACCACCATGATGATGATGTCATGCACCCTCAGACATTGACAGTGATAATGATGTTATGCCCTGCGTTGCTGACAAAATGCAGCATGTGATGAAGTAATGCAGGGAGAATATCACCACCTCTGTGACCCACCCACAGCAGGCATGTTCCCCCTCAGGAAGAGCGGCAGTAATAATTGCAGGAAGAACAGCATTAAGATCTGCTGGAAGAACTGAAGAACTGCAGACAAGAAAAATCTGAAAGAGCTGCAGGAAGAACTGCAGTGAGAACTGGAGGAAGAACTGCAGAGTAGACACAGAAGAAAAACTGCAAACCAGAAAGATATGGAAAAACTGCAGGAAGAACTGCACTCACGAAAGATATGGAAGAACTGCAGGAAGAACTGCAGAGAAGACAGATATGGAAGAACTGCGGGAAGAACTGCAGAGAAGACAGATATGGAAGAACTGCCGGAAGAACAACAGGAGAACTGCAGGAAGAAAACATGCAGACCAAAGAGATATGGGAAAACTCCAGGAGGAACTGCACTCAAGCAAGATATGGAAGAACTGCAAGAAGCACTGCAGGAAGAACTGCAGGAAGAACTGCAGGAAGAACTGCAGAGGAGACGGATATGCAACAAAAATGTGGTAGACTGACAGTGACACTGAAAAAGAGACAACAGCATAAACTGGCTTTGCTGAACATCATGGCAATTCAGTCCTCACTCTCGTGGCTTAAACACAGTAAAATTATAAAATAGTAAAAAAATACGCATTTGGCCAAACATAAAAAAAAGGACTTTCGGAGAGCAATGAGCCTTGAAATCATATAAACACAATGAAGTTTTTAGGAATAATTTTACTCAACACAAGTTTGAAGTTGCAACAGGCACAGAAACATCTGTTCTGTATGTCACCCAAAAAACACTCATGCCCCACTTTCCATGTCTATCCATCTCTTGGAAACCCAGGGCTTTAGGTCAAACCTCCAATCTGAAGTAGTGAAATGATCAGCAACCTATTTATATCAGACCTCCAATCTACAGGCATGAAGCGTACTCCAAGGGCCCCCTTCCCCTGCCTACCCCTCCTCCTCCCCGCCTAAGAACTCTGAAAAAATGCAGTGAGAAACTACGAAGAATAGTGGCACTAGAGGGATGGAAGAAGCTGTAGGTTTCACTGTCTGTGACAACTCGCAGCCACTGAGAAAGTGGATAAGAAATCGAGCCCCCTCCCTCCACACATGCCACATTAAACCTCCA